GGATGTGGGGCAAAGGCATCGTACCAGAAAATCCCTGGAGTGCCGGGCAAAAGTGCAACGTACACGAGCTCCCGCAGCGTTGCTTTAATCTGGCGGACATCTGGCTTGGTGTGAACTGAATATGGCAAGCTGCGACGTGCACTTGATATCAGCCGCGCTTGCTCCGAGATGGTGCGGCCGCGGGTTTGAAAGTCCGCAACCTTGCCCAGGGCTTGCGGCACGGCCATGTGGTTCAGGCTTTCTGCCTTCACCCACTCCCCTGTCCGAGCGACTGCGGAAAAGCCCGGGGGCGAGCTCTCGAGAGTTTTGCATTCTTCTACGAGGATGGGCCGGTGGCATCACCCTATCCACACGTGTGTAAGCTCGACGGGTTTCGTGGACACAGGTACAACGATCGTAACCCATCGCATCGCATCTCTGAACGTGTGCTGCTTTCGAAACATGTGGGCTCCCTTAAATGTCAGGCTCTTGCCTGTTGGGCCAGACATTGCGAGACTAAATGCTTGCAGACCGTAGAGCATGATCGCTTGAGGCAACGAAGGCATGGGTGCATGTGCAGAATTCGATGGGGCCACCGTAGTCGCTGCGCAAGCGAGCCCTCTCACACCTACTGCTTCTGCCGCTTCTGCCTACTGCGAGCTGTGTTGCGAACTGGCGCTGCGAGGCGAAGAGACGAGGCAGAGACGAGGGGGGGCCATTTCAAAATCCCCGGGGTGCCGGGCAAAAGTGCAACGTACACGAGCTCCCGCAGCGTTGCTTTAATCTGGCGGACATCTGGTTTGGTGTGAATGCCATCTCCAAGCTGAATATGGCAAGCTGCGACGTGCACTTGATATCAGCCGCGCTTGCTCCGAGATGGTGCGGCCGCGGGTTTGAAAGTCCACAACCTTGCCCAGGGCTTGCGGCACGGCCATGTGGTTCAGGCTTTCTGCTTTCACCGACTAGGCCTTCAGTGTGTGTTGCGAGACGCGGCAGCACATCATCCCCTGTCCGAGCGACAGCGGCCCGTGCTTGAGGCGTCTGCAGCCACCCGACTTGGACGTCTCACCATGCAGCCCTAAGCCCCAAACCCTAGGCCCAAAACCCTAATTTTTCCACCCTGCTGCTTCTGTCTTCCTCCCGTGGCCCTTTGCGGGTCCTCGGCACTAGGGCAGCTGGTCCCCGGGTTCATGATCAAGGCTATCAAGGTGCGGTTCCGACATCAACGGGACCCCCCTTTGCTTTCCTCTTTAGGAGCTCCGCCGGCCTGTGGTTTCCTGCATGCCGCCAGAAGCAGTTCCGCTTCCTCTGTTTTCCTACTAGTGCCCTCTTGCTGTCGCAGTGCAACGCTTTGCTGGGAGGCCTCCGACACTGCCCTCTTCCACGGCTCTCTGCTGGGAACCCGCAGTCTCAAGGCCGGCAGACACCGGCTGGAATTCACAGCGGATACAAAACGACAGCGGAACAGCGGAACATAGCTGGCAGGAGCGAAAGTGTAAAAGTGTAAAGCCTTTGTGCCTTTGTCTGTTCTCTTGCACTGCGACGTCGAGTGCCATGTCTTCTTGCCCGTGTGCTGCTTCGGCTTCCAGAAGCCATCACGCCGATTGCGGAACAGTGCAAGGAGGTGCTGCAGCCTGAGCGGATCATGAATCACGCGGCAGCTCAAGCACCCAAGGCTGACACAGCACACCACACACGCAAACGGGTTGCAAAGCACTTGCGACCAGCTTCTCTTTGACCGCATGGTTTCGGCAGGGTGTTCTTTTCCCCTTGCCGATAGCAGGCTGCAAAACTCGCAGCCGCTGTGGTCAGTGATAGTGATAGTGTCAACCGAGGGCATGCGCTGCATGCAGTTCATCAAAAGCCTGATTGCACTGGCCGGCCATTTTTCAGAGCATGTTGCTGATGTTTCTTCCTCTTTTAGTGCGAAGAAGGGCCTTCAGGAGAAGATACAGGCGGGGAAGCATCATTATGGGAGTTTTGAAAGTTAGCATCGTACACTATTGATATGACACAGCTCTTTATCTTCCCTAAACCCTAAACCCTGAAGTGTTTGAACCTGAAGCATGAGGTGAGGCCCGAAGACGTCTCGATGTAATTTGATCAAGTTGCAACATCAGGGTTGAGGGTTCAGGGGTTTTAGGGTTTAGGGTTTAGGGGTGTTTAGGGGTTTTAGGGTTTAGGGTTTAGGGTGTTTAGGGGTGTTTAGGGTTTAGGGTTTAGGGTTTAGGGTTTAGGGATATGAGCCATGTCTTATTGAGCCTAGCGTTGCTGCATAGAAGTGGATCCTTCCTTGGTACATTGAAGAATTCTTCATTCCTGTGGTGGATATTTTTTGGCAAAGCAGGTCACTGAAGGTGGTTCGAGCTGTTTTTTCTGAGAAGATAGACGAAAAGCTGTAAGGGACATGGCGACACAATACTCCTCCGTTGCGCAAACAGCTGGTGTCTTGCTGCGTAAGACTTGTGTCGTGGGGGCCACTTCGGAAATACCGAAATTTGCGAAGTCCTAAGCCCTAAAC